TGCTCAGCTCGGGCTGGACTCGAACCGCTGTTGCTCAGAGCTCAAACTCTCGAGCGAGCTCTTAACCAACTGAGCCACTCGGCCGGCCCTCTAAGCCAGTTCTTAACCAACGTGCCACTCGGCCGGCCCTCAGATAGTTTTGAGATATTCATGTGGCTGGATGTTTAGACAGCATTTGTATGCACCTGTCTGAGGCCCAGGGCAGAGAGTTTAGGGCTGGAGATGAGAATCTGGACATCCGTACATTGGTGGTGGTTAAAGCTGTGAGAGGATCATGTAGAGCGTGGAGAGAAGAGGTGGCTAAGGTGGAACTCCGGTGAGCATCTGAGTGGGAGAGGCGTAGCCAGAAGAGGGCCAAGGATCTCAGCGAATCTCCATGTTGAAGAACTTGGGGAATCAGAGAAGCTATGTTGTTTAACTAGATTCACATATCAAATACTTCCGTATAAACACTAAAAATCTTAACTTCATCTACAAAATTTGAAAGAATGGATATTCCCCCCCTTTCTCCTGAATTGAAAATTTTCCAAGAAAGGTATTTCAGAGCTGGTGGGTAGAGTGAATTATAATTATTTTTATGTTCTCGCCATAGGCCAGGGACACTTCTGCTGGTAAAAAACCTTTGGTTGGATGTTTTGAATACAAGGTAATTAGGAATCCATCCTTGGCCTAAATGTCATTTCCTGTGTTCAAGTTTCAAGGAAAGGGCTAAGTGCCATCACTGTATCAGTGAAAAAGACTAGGAATTATTTATGGATTAGACAGTATAGAGGTCATGGTAAACTTTTCAGGAATTGTTGCTAACTTCAATGAAGAATAATAACAAATGAGGAAATTGAGAACTGAATATACTGGAAATAAAGCATGCAGGTATGTTTGAGGCTTTGTTGAAAAGGAAAAGTGGTGGAGCCACGTTTTTGTTTTTGTTTTTTTCTTTTAAGTCTGGGAGACTTAAGTAGGTTTGTAGGCTAAGAGGAAAATCTAGAAGTTGAAGATACAAAGAAAATAATTGATTGAGCAAGACCCTGGAGGAGGCCAGAAGGGCTGGGATGAGGACACGAAGTTGAGTGGCATCTCTGAACCAAAGGTCGAGGACGCTTCATCTTCCCGAGAACAGGCAGCTTGCAGCGGGTTAGGCTGTTTTTCACAAGCGGGAGGTGAGGCCAGGGCAGTAGAGGAAGAGGTGGGGGATGAGGAGAGGCTATGTGAGACACTCGGGCAAGTTTAATTAGTAAGTTTCTAGGCCAGGAAACTGATTACATCAAGTGGCCTTGGTTTATGGTTCCTCCTGTGGGGAATGGTAGTGGCACCTTTCTAATAGTGTAACACTACTCAGTAGGCTGAAACAAGGTCAGGAGGAAACCGTCAAGGTCAGACTCATGAATGATTTCTGCATTCTCAAAGTGAAGGTTAGAGACCCTTTGCAGTTTGCCAACAGTATCTGTATAAATGGAACTAGAACTAACTTACGAATTCTGTTCATTTTTAAAGAATGTTGCTGAAGAAAATACAAGGATACTGTATTCCTTATATGGAGTGGTTGAACACAGTGGTACCATGAGGTCAGGGCATTACACTGCCTATGCCAAGGCAAGAACAGCGAACAGTCACCTCTCTAATCTTGTTCTCCACGGTGATATTCCACACGGTAAGATGTTGTGGGAAATTCCAGTATTCAGCATGGATGGCAAAACTAATACGAACTTGTGTCTTTTCATGTATACTTACTTTAACATTCTCTTGACAGATTTTGAAACGGAATCAACCAAAGGGCAATGGTTTCACATCAGCGATACACATGTGCAGGCTGTACCCACCACGAAAGTACTCAACTCACAAGCGTACCTCCTATTCTATGAGAGAATACTGTAACGATTTCGGAAAGTGCTTTCTCTGGAAACATTCATGGCTTTTATAATGGCTGTAATAATAAAGAAGTAAAGACTGACTGTAAGTCATGTTCACTTAAAATGAAATGCCAGAAGAAATCATGTTTATTGAAATATTGATGGGAAAAATACCTATAAATTTACAATGACCTTGTAGTGTCATAGTGGTTATTTCTTTCAGTTTCTGGAAAGGATTCTAAATTAAGTCCTCTGTGGTGAGTATGTCCCAAGTGATTGGTTATAACACATCAATAAACTGAGTTACCCCCAAAATTTGTTTTATTACTTAGAACATTGGAAGTTGTATGGCCTTACCCTACTAGGTAACATTTAAAAAAAAGTTTCAAACTGTCTAACTAATGAAACTTCACTACTAGGGTGTGAATTTTATAAGCAGTTATTTTGATACTGCAATTCTTCTGATGTCATAGTGTGTGAGTTAGCATGTAGGCCTAACTCCGTAACTGCTTCACTGAGTCAAGGTAGACACTTGTGGACTCAGTAACTGGGTACCACGTCCCCCTAATGCCAGCATGCCAGAGAAAGCCTGCAACTGTCCATGTAATAAATTCCTTTTTACCTAGCCAGCCACTGTTTGAGTTGAATGCAACCCTAAGAGCCATGAGGATATTAAGCCTGTCTAAACTTCCTTAAGGTTCTCTTACTAGAATTTCTTTGCTGTACATTGAACCGTTTTTGCTATGCAGTCAAAGGGGAGGTATCACTCTCAACACTTGAGTTTTTCTAAGACTCAAGTCTGCCATACTGCTTCCAAAATTCCTTTGAAATACCAAAAACTATAAGATTTCAAAGTGTTATCCAAGGACTTTATATAATTAACACATATAGTAGCACACATCCCATAAAGTCAGGTAATTTAACTTTCTACAATGTTCTTTGCTTTTTCAAAACTCCTTACTGATCTTAAGGAAAAATAAGGTCTGCTTTTTGAAAACTGACTTGCTTAATTTCTATATGTGAGGAGGTGTATTTTCAGTTGTATTGCAAGCATCTTGTTGCTTTGCTACTAGAATATAAGTATTTCAAATCAGTCTTTCAACAAATCATTGCTAATGAAACATGTACTTTGAATAGTCTTTGGATTTCCACAGTTGTGGAAAAAACACTGAAAAATCTAGTCCAGGGGTCAACAGACTTCCTGTGAAGGGCTAGGTAGTTAAGTATTTTAGGCTTTGTGGGCTACTTGGTCTGTCACAGCTACTCAACTCTGCCATTCCCTTGTAGAACGCAGCTGCAGATATGTCAATATATGAGCATGGCTGTGTTCCCATAACTTAGGTAGGAAAGCAGGCAGCTGGCCGCCTAACACATTGGAAACAGGCCCCTAGTTACTTGGGTGACTTGCCTCAATTCCCACCACTAGATTCATTAATAAGGTTGAGACAGGTCATTTAGATCCAGGAACAGTGGTCATCCGACAATGAGATTTTGATAGTAACAACACATTTATTGTACCATCCAGCCAAGGATACAAACATAAAACACTTCTTAACTTAAGAATAGGAAAACACGAGGCAATTCCTACAGTACTACTACAACTATAGCCTTCGCCTATGGTAAAAATTAAACCATTCAATCATTTTGGTCATCATCCCAGTCTTTCTTCCCACTTGGAGGCTTGGGCCCACCGGCTGGTTTTGCCATGATGATCTGCAAAACAACAAAAACCACAGCGTATATTTTAGAATGAGGAAAAAGAACATTTTTCTATTAGTCTGATTCAAGATTAAGACATCCTCTCCATATAAGCAACCTATTTTATAGTGCATGTAAGACACTACAGCATACAGTTAGCTTCCAGCAGTGAGTTTCCTGCTTTTGTGGACATTAACAGCAATGAAATCCACACACATTAGTGAAGGGCACTCATTCATTCTACGACATGCGCTTCGATAACCAATGAGCTGAATTTGCATGCATCACTGGTATAAATCAGTTTGGCACCTGATTTGCTACTTATATATGAGGTTCGTCTTGCCAACCATCTTTATCCCAATTTCCTTGAGGTTTAGGAACTTTAGGTCCACCTGCCAGCTTTGCCATTATAATCTAAAGTGATTGATACATAAACATATATATTAAGTTCAACACTGAAAACTTCTAATAACTATATGCGAACAATTCAAGTTGCAGGAAGTGTGTTCAAACAAAAACGCAAGTACCTAGTCCCTGGTAACTTAAAAACAAAACACACCAGAAGCCTCTAATTTATGTACAATGCACTCACCCAGCATTTTCCAAGTATAACTAGCATTTTTAAAGGATTTATGTTTGGGGAAAAAAGGGGAGGAAGGTAGCAGCTTTGGGCTGAAATAAATTTGGGAGAAGCTAAATTAAATTAGTTGGCTTTCCTCAAAGTAGAACTCAAACTCTAATATACATTCTGAATCTCAACACTGGAAACAGTATTCGTTGCTTCCCAAATATGTGATTAAGGGATCTTTCTGTATTTTGACTGGTGTCTAAACCAACACAAACTGGAAAATGTCTTTACTACCACCTCCAAAAGATTCCACACCCCTTTTCAGAACTTTCTATAAGATATCTAAACCTGAAGTTCTTGGAATACCATTTTACTGAGGGTGAAGTTCAGATCAATTTAAAGGTGTTAATACTTTTAGAACGTAAGTGTAGCCTGATTTTTATACCTAGAATAGTAGTGCTCAAACTTTGGTGGGCATCATATAACCACAGGCTTATTGCTGTACCTCCTCCCAGAGTTTCTGATTTAGTGAGTCTGGGGTGGGCCCAAGAATTTGTATGTTTAACAAGTTCTTAGGTGGGTTGACGCTGTTGATTTTGGGACCATAATTTAAGAACTAGTGAAATAAACATTTGAATGAAGATTAATTCAGCCCTCCTACATTATCCAATGCTCAAAACTTGATTTGCAAGTCCTTCCCAGAATATATACTATACAAAATTAGGTACAACTGTCTTTTTAAAAAACAAGTTCATTATAGTAACACAAACTGGTTAATACAGTCAGATGTGTTCTTCAGGTACCTATTTTACATACAGAGCACATAATAATGGATATCTTCCTCTGTGATAAGACAACACAGGCTTCCCGTTTAAAACCAAAATTCAGAAGTGCCTTTGTTACCGAGGCACTTATAATAACTACTGTCTTGCTTGTATAATTGACATTCAAAAAGTTCCCCTGTTAAAGAACTTCCACTATTAGAATTTCTGCTTACCTCATGCTTCAATCTACTTAGCATCTCCTGTCCCTTTCTATTTTTGGTTCCCCTTTTTATTCTTAGCCACATACTTTTAGAACAAACATTTCCTTAGGCTTCTATTATCTAATTTATTTAAAAACTCAGAAATATATATTCTTCCACTGAAAACTACCTAATACAATGATATAAAAAGACCCTATTAATAAATCCAGTACACAAACATCCAGTTCCATTTTTGATCATCTTCAAGTAGGGAAAAAAATTCCTTTCACTGAGATGAACTCTGTATTGCTGTAACTACCAACAACAGGTCCTTATTGTGCTTAGAGTAAGTCCAGTTTCCACCTACGGCCTGCTTCTCCCAAGATTAATTCGACACTAATGGATTTATACCGTGTCCCTAGCAATTACAATTTTCTATTAAGTACTTACAGATACTTCATTGCTTAATAATCACTTCTAGAATTTTGGAGGAAAATTAATTTCATTAAGTTTACTAGAGAACACCTTGCAAAATTATGAATTCTGGTTTGTCTCTGAATCCAGCATAGTCTTTACCACTTTTCCTTTGTCACAATTCAAAAAAATGGGGGTGGGTGGGAGGGAGGGAAAGCAGAAATACTATGATTTTTAATACCTTTAAGATCTTTTAGTAGTATCTCAAGACATAATTTGTCACAGCAGAAAAAATTTTGAACACCCAGGTTCTATCGTCTCCACGGACAACTAAAGGTGCCCCTTTCCTTAAAGCTGGCAGTTGCAGTGCCTGCTTCAGGCCTTTGGTCCTTCCATGCTCCACAGTAATATTCCAGATTAAACTTCCTCTCAGGTTGTAAGGGGCTCTTAGGCTAAAAAAGGTCTGAAAACTATGAATCTAAATCAGATTTGCTTTACCTATTCCAGTTTTAAAATGGCAAAGGTTTCTTTCACAGGAAAGGTCTTCATTTTAAATGAGTTGAAATATATTCAACACAATTTAAAACTATAATAGCAAAGGAAACAAAAATGTGTTTTAGGGGCACTTGAGCATCTCTCAGATGAAGGTGAAGGAACACTCCTTTGAGAAGAATGAGCACTGTGCTATGTTCTAGTTCCATGAAAACACACTGCTGAACCATAGGAAAATTAGTTTTGAAGACCAAAGCTTCAGTTTCACTCACCTGATCCACTCTAAGGACAGTGACGGCGGCGTTAGTGGCCAGTTTGATGGCCCAGTATTTTCCCAGGTAAGTATCTAGAATACCAGCCTCCAACATATCCTTTACAGCAGGAACTTCAGCCTGTCAACACAAAATTTCGTTCTTTCACTTTACATTGTTTTACGTGAAAATGTTTATATTCAAAAACAAAAATGCATGGCTCCTTGATACTAGAAAAGTAACTAGGCAAAAGTACTACCCTACACTGTATTAAACAAAAGGCTATTAAAACAGAAGGAAAAATAAATATCAAACTCTGTATTAAAAGTTAACTTACAAAAATCAGTTTACAAATGAAAACATTTTCTCATTGATTTTTCTTTTAAGCTCATTATTTCTATTTTTAGGTTATACATTCACAAAATAAAACAATTTAAGTTCATAGTGTTTTTTTCAAATACCTCAATATCTAATCCCACATTTTTATTTCCTTCTTGATGGACGGCATAAAGTTTAGAGATTACTTCATTGGCCTTAACCCCAGAGTTTTCTGCCAGTGCCCGGGGAATAGCTTCAAAGGCCTCAGCAAACTTCTTAATGGCATACTGTTCAAGTCCAGGACATGTCTAAAACAAAAATGAGGTTAATATTACATTTTGTTCCATCAACAAGAAGAAAGTCAATTTATACCAAGAAAGCTATACCTCTCCATATGATGTGATCTGTTTGGCTAACTCAATTTCTGTTGCTCCACCTCCAGGCACCAGACGTTTATCCTATAATATGTAGTTCAAAAACAAAAGAAGTCACT